ATAATTTCACTAAGCACACACATCCTGCAGACAGAAATAGTGGGAATGGCTTTCAGAGCCACCCATTCAACCATCCATCCAAACTCAGAGCAATATGCAAGCAATTTCCAGCGAGGCCAGAGCAAAGCCAGGTCATTTTTGATTATTGTTTCAGAGGTGCCGGCTTTCCCTGCTAATTATAGGCTTGCCTCCAGCTAATAGGATTTATGGAAACAAAAGCATTACCAGCACAAACATTGCACAGGGCACAACTGGCACAAGCTGGGAATTTTCCATCCTGAAATGCCAAGGGCTGGATGCTTGAAATGCCAGTGTTATCCAGCCTGAGGTGAGACAGGGTGGTCAGGATTTGTTTTCAATGAATGGCTGGTTTAGCTGTGGGTGTGTATCTGAGGGATCAGATCCATCAGGAACACAGGGTTTCCTTGGTAGGGGAATTATTGAGCATCCCCAGTGCTCATTCCAGCCACCAAGGACTGACTGAAGCCGTGCTGGGAATGGGTGGTTCATGCTCCTGCAGCAGGGAAGTAAAGCAGGGTGAGCTGGCAGGGAGAGTGGGGTGCTGGGGGAGTGGGTCTGATGTTCACAGAGCTTATTGTCAAACCTTCTGGAACTCCTCGTCCCACTAATTGGATTAGGGACTCATCTGCATGAATAAATCCCAGAGTAGGCAAGAGGGTAAGCTCAGGGGACCCTGAAAATGCAGTGGTGGTTTGAAAACGTGCAGTGGTGGTTTGATCCTGGGGGTGCTGAGTGCCTGGGGTGAGTTCTGGGGATGCTGCTGGATCAGGCTGGGATGGCTGTGCAGGGGTGGCAGGGCAGAGAGGGCAGCTGAATATGGCCTCAGGCAGGGCCAGCATTTCAGTTCCCATGGGAATTATGGAGCTGGATTGTGGAATCACAGCACGGTTTGGGTTGGAAAGGGCTGTTGAAGGTCATGCAGTTCACCCCTCTGCAGGGAGAAGGGACCAGCCCAGGTTCCTCAGGGGTGTTTGCTCTCCAGCAGCCACCATCCAGTGCTCACTATTCAAGTCTTTATCCCAGAGCATATGGAGGTTGGAAACAACTGGGTCACAAAAAGTCTCTACAGGGACATCCTCAGAGCTGGAGGTTCAAAACCTCCTGTTTAAGTGGCTGCTCCAATCCCATCAGAGAAAACTGGGAAAGGGCAATCAGGTCCCTCCAGCTATTTTTAGGAATTGCCTGAGACTCCAGCCAGCAACACCCTGGAGCAGTAGCCAGGGAAGGGGAAAGGTTGCTCCTTGCTTGTTTTCCTTGCGTTTTTTCCCCTCCAGCATGTTATTCCTGGCAACCCAGGTTATACAGCTGAAGGGCTGATGTATTTATGTTTGTTTTCAGGAAATGAACTTCTTGCTTTGCTTCTCAGCTCCCTGAGGAGTTGAAGGTCTTCTGAGGAGGGAGGGTTACATAGAATCTGCAGAGCAGAGAGGAACCAACAATGCTCCCTAACCCTGGAGAAACCACGAGCCCTGCACAGCCATGGGGGGACCATGGGAAGCATCAGACCTGCAGAAGTGAAGGAAACTCTGCCCAGGTCCCAGAGTAAGTGAGAAACAGCAATGAGGAACACTCTCTCTCCATAGCTCACCTGTTCTCTGATGCTCCAGCAAAGCCTCCTGTATTTGTTAATTTCTCTTATATCCCGGGCTGAATTTTGTGCTGTGACTCCTTGCCAGGCCTGTCTGAGATGAGCCCACCATGTCTGTGTGTCGTAGCAGTGAACCAAGAGCTTGCTCTGTAAATTTTTCCTGCCATCACTTGTGTTTATGCACCAGAGATCAGAGCATCCCCACGGTACAGAGAGATGCTCACAGCTAAATAAACAAGCAGGTGCACAGAACCCCTCTGGCAACATCTTTTACTAAGTTATGAATTGTCTGCCTGGATTTGGAGATGGATTTTTTTTTAATGAGTTGACAGTACAGAGTTATTCACACAGTCTTAAAATCAAATACTCTGTGCAAAAGAGCTCAAGCTCTCCCCACATCCAAAACAGGGAGGGTTTCAGTGAGAAGAGTCCCTCCAGCTGGATTTTGGAGGCACATATTGGAAGTGCAGGGGTGAGGCAGGGGCTGGGATGGGAGTCCCACCCTCCCCTGTGCCTAAACCACTTCTCAGCAAGCAAAATGCTGCGCACCAACCCGCCACCCCTCTGGGGAAATTCCCCCATCCTGGAGCACAGGAGCCAGCCGCAGTGCCCGGGGCACCAGGAGCTGTCCCCGAGGCTGGCAGTGTCCCTGGGATGCGACAGGAATGTCGGTGCTTACCAGCCAGGGGTGCTGAGCCGCTCCCTGCCCGCCTGGTGCTGTCTCAGCGCTGGTGGAGAGGAGGATCCGGGGCTTTGCCTCCCCTCCTCTGTCTGCTGCATCCTCCACAGCCCCTGCTTTTATATATTTGTTATTTATGGAGCACGTGATGACATCCTAAGGAGTTTAGAACTCTGATGAAAGACGGGGAGAGGTGAGAGGCTTTAGGGTGTCAGGCCAGCAAAGGGATCACTTCAGGCTTCTTTCTTTCTTTTTTTTTTTTTTTTTAAATTTTTTTTTCCCCTGGCGTGACTGGCTGCAGAGGGATAAAGCATTTAGCTGATTGCTCTGTGGGTTGGGCAGGGAGAGCAGGGGACAGCCAGGAAAGGGAGCACTGTCCTGTTCTGATCCTGACCTCCCCAGCAGCATCAGAGTGGATGAGTTTTGTTTGGGGAAGGATGGGGAGGCTGCCGGTTGTGCCAGGCATGATCATTGCTTGGGCTCGAGCAGGGGGGAGTTTCTCAGCTGACTCCTTGTAGGATGGGGAATCAGATCTAAGCTCTCTTGCCCAAGGAGCTTATTCCAAAAACCAAGCATCTCTCCCCCACGCAGCCCTCTGTCCCTGGGAGCTGTTACATAAGAAACTGGACAGGCAGAACCAGCAATGTTTGTCCCCATCAGGGCATGTGTAACAAAAGGGAGATTATCCCAGGCAGGAGCACGATGTTGGCATCATCATTATCACTAGGAACCAGATGCAGCCCTGAAAGAAGCCTGGAGCAGGAGGCAGAGCTGGCTTTGCTCCACTGGAGACATTTCCAGGGCAGGTCTGGACCTGCTTTAGCTTCCAGCCATGGCCAAAATGACCTGGAGCTATGCCCTTATCTCTCTCTTTTAAGCTTTTTCATTGAATCGAAACAGAAATATGACCCAGCAGCTTTTTGCTCTTCAGAAATGGCATTTTGGAGCAACTCCCAGCCATTAAAACAGCCCAGCAGAGCAGGGGCTGGCCCGTGGCTGGAATATTCAATCAGGGATGCCGCATTCCACAGCCTGCCTCTTCCTGCTCCCACACAGCTGCGGAGGGTCAACAGCTCCATTAAATTAGAGCCTCAGCAGTGTGCCCAGATTTGCATATTTAGCAGCTCTCTCAGCATCTTCAAAGAGCCCCGAGCATCGCTGCGGCCCCGCAGCCGGNGACAGGGTTTGGAGGGTCTCAGGCAGAAGGAGAAGCCAAACCCTTGGATCCATGGAACCTCCTGATCCTGCCTGAGGGCAGAGTCACCCCTGCCTCTATCCCACCCTTCACTGGATGACCTGAGGCTGCATTTGCCCCTTCTCCCCTGAGGCTGAGGTGCCCCAAGGTGCCCTGGATTTCTCCCCTCACACCAGCTGGTGCCCTCCCTCAAGCCATTGTGGTGAGACCGTGATCAAAGCAGGGCAGGAACACACATGGGCTGTGTAGAAAATCACCACCACATCTTTATTTGCTGCTTTCCAACAACCTGAGTTGTTTGCAGAAGGCTTGTCCTGGGCTGGTTGTGGGTCTGGGACAGGGAGGACCAAATGGTTTGGGCTGGTTCCCTGGGGAGGCTCTGCAATGTGCAGCTCAGGGTGGCTGTGGGCTGGGAAGGATATCTGTGGGCAGGGGGTGGCTGCCACAACCCCTGCCTGGCCTGGGGGCTGCTCAGGGAGGGCTTGGCCATGGTGTGCTCCACTCATGGTGGTGGTGATGGTGAGAGGGATGCCAGGCTGGGGCACGTGTTTGCAGGGGCTCTTCTGGGTGTCTCAGCCAACCATGGTGGGTGCAAGTGTCCTCAGACCAGCAGAGCCCCCAACCATTCCCAGGGCAAAGCCTTCACATCCCAGAGGGCTCATGGCCAGGGCAGCTCAAGCAGAGCCCAGGGAGCTGATGGATCCAGCACGAATTCCTGTGGCCATCCCTGACTCAAGCACAACCCAGCGAGATGATGGAGCAGAATCCAGCAGGAATTCCTGTGCCCAGCCCAGGGAGCTGATGCTTCCAGCAGGATCCAGCAGGAATTCCTGTGCCCAGCCCTAGGAGCTGATGGATCCAGCAGGATCCAGCAGGAATTCCTGTGCCCAGCCCTGGGAGCTGATGCTTCCAGCAGGATCCAGCAGGAATTCCTGTGCCCAGCCCAGGGAGCTGATGCTTCCAGCAGGATGTGGCAGGAGCTCCTGTGCCCAGCCCTGCAGGGATGGGATGGGGCCAGGCTGGCGTGGCTGCAAGGCAGATGTGGCAGAGGGAGCAGCTGTTTCCAGGGCCAGCTGGGGATGATGGATGTGGGCACGGAGAGGGGCTGCAGCTCCCCTCAGCAGCCGCTGTTCCTGCGCATGAAGGCGTGGCCNGAGCCAGCTGACTGTGATTGGCCATTAATTAGAAACAACCACATGAGACCAATCACAGATGCACCTGTTGCATTCCACAGCAGCAGATAACCATTGTTTACATTTTGTTCCTGAGGCCTCCCAGCTTCTCAGGAGGGAAAATCCTAAGGAAAGGATTTTCCATTAAAGATGTCTGTGACAGGCTCCCACCCCTGAGCCCCATGCAGGATCCTGCACAGGCACACTGGAGCCAAATGCTCTTTGCCAGGGAAGGAGGTGATCCCTGGGGGACACGGGGTGTGTCTGGGGTGACACAGAGAGGGGACATGGGGGACACGGGGTGTGTCTGGGGTGACACAGAGCCCAGCCCTCATTTCCCTGCAGGTGGGCCCTGCCGGCTCCCAGTTCGGCTTGCTGGCCTGCCTCTTCGTGGAGCTCTTCCAAAGCTGGCAAGTGCTGGAGAAACCCTGGAAAGCCTTCCTCAACCTCTTCGGCATCGTCCTCTTCCTCTTCATCTGTGGCCTCTTGCCCTGGATCGACAACATTGCCCACCTGTTTGGTTTCCTGAGCGGGCTCCTGCTGTCCTTCGCCTTCCTGCCCTACATCACCTTCGGCACGGTGGACAAGCTGCGCAAGCGGGCCATGATCATCGTGTCCCTGCTGGTCTTCCTGGGGCTCTTTGCCTCGCTGGTGGTGTGGCTCTACGTGTACCCCGTCAACTGGCGCTGGGTGGAGTACCTCACCTGCCTGCCCTTCACCAGCAAGTTCTGTGAGAAGTACGAGCTGGAGCAGGTCCTGCACTGACCCTGCCATGTTCCCATGGGGTGGGTACTGCCCAGCCTGTGGGATGTGGTGGTGGCTGCTCCAGGATGGGGCAAACTCTGGGCATGGCTCCATCCTCAGGGAGGGAGGGTTTGGGGTACCCCTTGCTCAGTGCTGGGGATGTAGGGCTGAGCCAGCCCTGCCTTGATCCCCTCCTGATGCTGGAAAGCCATAACTGGCCTGGGGATGGACCCTGGCTGCTGCCTGTGTGGGGAAAGTGCTGAGGGAGGCTGGATCTTGGTGTATCTATGGGCAGGCTGCACTGCCAGTCCTGGGGTGAAGTTGCTGAAGTCTCCAGCCTGTGTCCCTGCCTGCCTGGGGCCCCATCCCAGCTCAGTGCCCTGCAGTGCTGCAGCTCATACTGTGAACACAACCCCCTTTTTGCAGGGGCACTTTTTTTATCCACAGCTCTTTAGGCCCAGGGTTTCCCCCTTTTGGGCTCTCTGGAGTCTCTGTCGTGGCTCCAAGATTTTCAGGGCTGAGCTTTAAAGATATTTTTCAGTCCTGTTCCCCCTGAGGTCCCCAAGGAGGGTTGTGCCTTCCCGCCTGGCTCCTCACTGGATGGAGAGGCAGGACTTGGGGCAGGGGGTTTTTCCTTCCCTTATTTCAGTGAAATTCTCCTTTTGGAAGGGGAGGAGTGGCAGGGACTCTATTTATAGTGCCATGGTGGGAGGCAGACATGGAGAAAATCCCCCTGGGGGACTCCTGTGGCTGCTTCTGGAGCCCACAGCCCTCTCAGGAAGCTGTCAGTGCTCCCACCTTCTGCCTTGAGTCCCTGCTGGTTCCCCTTTCCCTTTTGCAAAGCATGGAGACCCAGGCAGCCCTTCCTTCCTTGCTCCAGTGGTGCTGCTCAGGTGTGGAAGTGCAGGATGGGGCTGTCACCTCCCCTCTCCCTGCCTGAGACTGCCCTGTCCCAGCTGCTCTCCCCAGCATCTCCTCCTCCTCCTCAGCACCAGCCGTGGCACGAAGGCAGGTCCTTCCTGGGGTCCAGGTGACCCCTCTGGGCTGGTTTGGACCCAGGCTGGTGCCAGGCTGTCTCTCCCCCGAGATGTGTTGCTTTGGTGCTGGAGGCCTCAGTGCTTTTAAGTGGGGGTTGCCCCAGTTAGGATGTCCTGGGAAGAATATTCAAGGGCTGACAGCCTGGTTCCCTCCACAGCCACTGAGTGAGCCCAGGAGCATCTGCATCCATCCCTGCATCCCTCCCTCCACCCTGGGCCAGTTTCCAGCCCCACTCTGTCCCTCCAGTTGCTGCTCCAGCCAAAGACAGACACTTCACCTCATTTGTCTCTTTTTTGATACTTTTTTAAAAAGCTGTGGGTTCCCCCCATCCTTAATAAATTTCTACCTGTATTTAATGAGATGCACAAGGTTTCTCCTCTCTTCTTGGGCGTGGTGAAACAGCACTTTTGGGGGGTTCTGGTTGTTCTGGTGATGGCTGGTGTGGCAGGGAGGGAGGACAAGCTGGGCTGGTGCCCTGAGGGGCTGCTCAAACCCTCTCTGGGAGGAGACAGGGTTTGGAGGGTCTCAGGCAGAAGGAGAAGCCAAACCCTTGGATCCATGGAACCTCCTGATCCTGCCTGAGGGCAGAGTCACCCCTGCCTCTATCCCACCCTTCACTGGATGACCTGAGGCTGNTAATATATATCATAAAATAATAAATCAAGCCTTCTGAAACATGGAGTCAGATCCTCATCTCTTCCCTCACCCCCAGACCCCCATGAACACTGTCACACCTTTGCAGGCCTGGTGTATCTTGCTGCTTTTCTGCCTTTGAGGAAGGAGAACAAACACGTCTGGCAGATGCTTTTGGCCAAAAGCAGGAGACGGGTGCCAGGAGCCAGCCAGGACCTCTTTAGCCCGCCCTGGAGCACCGCAGTGCTGCTGATTAACCTGCTCTCCTGTCTGTGAGCTGGGCTTGTAACTAGGTCACAGCCACTCGTGGCACAGTCCTGGGGGAAGGGGGTCAGTGGGGGCTGCAGGAGCCCCTCTGGGAGGAGAGGGCTGGGCAGGTGGGAAGGAGCCCAGCAGTGGCAGCCCCACCCTCCAGGCCCAGCCCTCCAAGCAGTTTGGAGCCAGTGTGGCTTTGGGAAGAGGAGGTTCCAGCAGCCTGGCAATTTTTGGGGCATCCTGCTGCTTACAGGATCTGTCCTGTCCCCAGCCCTAACCCTGGCACATGCTGCTGGGAGCCAGGGTGACCCCTGGACATGGTGGGGACCAGATGCCACCCACGGGGAAGAAAAACCCTGGAGGGCAAGGCTGAGCCTGGAGCAAGGCCATTGGGAGAGTTCTGAGGTCTAGGTCTCAGTGAAAAGGGAGAGAGGAGGGAGAGGAGGAGGATCGTGCTCACATGGAGCTGCTCATGCACAAGGTGATGCTGCTCTGAGTTTTCTGTAGCAGTGTTTGGTCAGGGCAGCACAGCCAGAGGGGGAAAGGCTGGGTGATCACGATTCCTGCAGGATCACAAAATGCCTTGAGGTGGAAGGGATTTCACAGAGCATCTCCTTCCCTGCCCAGCCAGCCTCCAGAGGCTCTCTGGGATCACAGAGACAGGATGAGGGATTGCCATACGCTGCATCACTCGCTCACATTTCTGTTCCCTGATGTTAATGGGGGCACAGGGACTCCTGCTGAGCTGTCTGTCTGCGTGATGATGAAGATAAACCCCCAGCTCTCCCTGGGGGAGGGTCTGCACGCATTCCCTGTGACACCAGCTGCTCTGAAAGGCCTTTCCTGAAGGCACCAGCTCTTCCCAGCAGGGAAAGGACGGGAGCTCTGTGCATCTGCAAAGCAAAAGAGGGAAACACGGGGAGGATTGGCCAAGGAGGGGCTGCAGAGAGGAGAAGGGGGAGATGGAGTGCTCACCTGCACCTGAGGGCTGAGCAGGGGGGATTCAGAGCTCACCTGCACCTGAGGGCTGGCAGGGGGGATGGAGAGCTCACCTGCACCTGAGCACGGAGCAGGGGGTGGGGTTCAGCGCTCACCTGCACCTGAGGGCTGAGCAGGGGGGATGGAGTGCTCACCTGTACCTGAGCACAGAGCAGGGGAAGGTTCAGTGCTCACCTGCACCTGAGGGCTGAGCACGGGATGTTCAGAGCTCACCTGCACCTGAAGGCTGAGCAGGGGGGACGGAGTGCTCCCCTGCACCTGAGCACGGAGAAGGGCGTGGGGGGCGTCAGCTCTCACCTGCACCTG